CGATCAGAAAAAGCTTGGGCCATGCATTTTCGACGTTTGCCATCATCAGATAGGTAGAGAGGGGAGAGCAAAAGAGGAAAATGGAGGCAATTCACCTTCGCCGTCTTAACGCGCATCGACGAGACAAAAAGGCATGCACTTATGTTTTAACGAACACCTGCGTGATGCCAAGAAGCCGACCGCCGGCACACCATCCAGTGACCATTCTCGCCCATCAGTCACACGAACGCACCCCTCGCACACCAGCATTCTACACAAATGCGAGGGCCGGTGACAAGGCGAGTTCCGAATTTCTCCTTACAAAGACGCCAACCAAAGATGCTTGACGCCCTCTCCACTTCGCACCACCTACCGGCACTTGATTCAATCCCCATGTCACCACTAGATGGCAGGGCCGGCGTGAAAATGGGGAGTTTTGGCCCACCAGTTCGGTGCGGGCTGTAGCAAAGGAAGGACACGTGATATAATCTCATTTTCGCATTTTCCACTTGATGATGGCGGTGGCCGAAAAGTCGTGTCCCAACCATTCTTCTGATCTTCGCTCAACTACCAGCCTGCAACTCTACAATAGCCAACAGGTCGGTGGCATTGGGACTTAAGGCCATCTGATTACTCGCATTTAAAACAGAAATTTACTTAACATATATCTGTTTCCAGGGCCGCCATATCCGCAGCATTTCACGTCTGGTGGGCGAGTAACTATCACGGAGGAGGGGGAGGGGTAAACTGGTGTCATTACGGCAAACTACTAATTCTTAAAGGCTAAACCGGTCAAATAATGGGACAGCCACCACTACACCGGGACGCCCTGGCAACGAGGTTTTCTGACGCCCCCACAACCCCATTTGCAATACCCTTCTGCGCTTACCTCCCCCCCCCCCATTAGGAACAATTTCTGCTCGGGGTACCATCAAAATGGCGGCCGTCCTTTGAAAAAGCTCAAATTGTTTGAAAAATCACCAGGAGTGTATTCTGAATATTGTTATCAAATACGCTGCTCACAATCCTAGGTACGCTGATGAAATTTCATTTGTATGATCGCCCGCCTTGCGGCTATGCAATGATACAACCTTCTTTACTATCCTTGAGCTCTGCCATCTTTCGTCCCACCTCCCCGGAGCATAATTGCCATCTAACCTGCTCCTCCCCAAACGTGCAACTGCGTCCGACGCCCCGCAAAGGCCACGGAACTCACGATGCCAAAGCTGAAGCTGTCCAGCCTGACGGAGACGTCGCCGCGGAAGGCTTCGGGCGGCATGTAGGCCGAGGTGCCGAGCACCGTGGTGGTCAGCAGGGTGTTGGTCGTCCTGCTGCCGCTCACCTCGCGCGCCAGACCGAAGTCACCCACCTGAAGGCGGGCAACCGAAGCGCCGTCACGAAACAGCCGTACGGGTCTACCATTGAACACGACACTGATCTGTGGTGTGAAATTGCATTTTCCTCAAAAAGCACACTCAACGCTAGTTTTGAGAACACTGATCCTAGCTAACCTCAACTTCGTCTTGGATCCATTTTCTACCGCTAGCTTTGACCTCAGCCTGAGCTTCGTATCCTTTTATATGGTTGTATCGCCTTAGGCTTGCGTTCCGTGACATTCTGAGCAGCCAGCATCAGCATCCATTTTGGCTTCGAACAAGCCTTGAACCATGGATCCAACCTGAACTGCTGACATCGGCTTTGTCATGGTATCTTCTCACTCCAGTTGCAGCTGTACTTTGCAAAAACAGTATTGCCTCTCCCCTCGCCGATACGCACCCGCCGGCCATTCTCAGGACCAACGAACGTCTGACCCCAGCAGGAGAAATAACTACCCCAAGCATTGTGTACGTGCTAACACACAACACGAGGGTGACATTTCCAAACACATTCTCCGCCCATACTGCTAACATTCATATTGCTACCACCATGCCTCAGTCATTCCGCAAAATGCTTACGATACTTCCTGGCATCACAACGCTTCAACAGGCTCGAATAATGGTTGTAGTTCCATAAAATGACGCTGTGCACAGGGTTTAGCTCTATCTAAGGCCTCGTGACTCTGAAGTCACAAGTAAGTTTTTTACGTCGTGTTTTTTTCAAACTTTAAACCCGCTTGCTTCGGCTTCGGCGTGTGCTTACCACTTGTGCTTCGCATGGGCTTCGCGTTTGCGTGTTTGAAGCCATTAGCTTTGGATCCGGTTTCGCGTTTGGAAAAAGGAGGCCACTGGCCATGATTCCAATTTCAAAGTTCAAAGCCACCGGCTTCGGATTCGACTACGGTTCCGTGTAATCGTGCTGAATTCCAACTCGACTTCACATTCGTAATATTTGGCTTATTTCTTTTTGTATTCCTCACCATACGATCGTAGTTCTGGGCCCGTTATAGCCCCGTGATACATGGCAGATAAGTCGTTAAATCATTTTATCATGTTTCATCCGAGCGCAGTAATTCGACACATAGGTCCGGTAAGGTGGATCCATGCCTATGATGTCATATTGTTGGAATTTTCTCCCCAGTCAAAATTCACTTAAAAACTATGGTTTACTTGAATGCTAATGTAAGCACTGTGACTGGTTTTCGTGATAGTGTAACTTCACCGGTAGGCACCAATTTTTCAAACGCGATTTCGAACCAGATGCCGATTCACTGCATCCCAATTCATTTTTGCAGTAATATCTAATGTACGTCGCACTAGATATCTATGTAATTTTGGTTCAGCATCTCAGCAAGGCGGCATCCTCCCCTCACTTTGGCAAAGCTTTCGCGACGCGGGACGACAATGCTCAAGCTGCTTGTAACGTGCCTTCATGGCCGCGGAGGCAAGTCCGCTAATATATCCGACGCACGCCTACTGGTTGCTATGACTGTCCTGCGCAGACGTGTGAATGTGGTGGAAGAATTACATCAACATCACATGCTAGCATTGCTGGCTCAAATCCGTTACAAGGGATTCATTTCCTCACGCACGATATTCGAAACTCGTTTCGATTCTCGGGTTGATATGGGTAAAACTGGATGGGGGCAGACTAAGGCGTTGAAAACAATGGGTCGCAATACATTAGTGAATTGGGAGTTCTTATGTTGAATATAATCGACATTCGGTATGTCAGGAGGTACTAGCCAAACAACGCTATCAACAAGCTTTGGCTTCACTGAAAATGCTCCCACATTTCAAAGCTGTGGTAACTGCGACTGGTTATCTTGGTTACTGTGACTGGTTGCCTCAAACTTGATTTTAACCAGCGTAATCCGCTGAAGACAAGCCCAGATTTGGCAACCGCTCAGCCGGCCTCCTTGAAACCTGACCAGTGTGTGGAAAGCACACTTCAAGCACTCTTTTACCATACTCATTTCTTTATCTTTCATTTTGTCATCATGTCATCAAGTTCTTTTCAAAACAGCATGAAGCATTTTAGTGCGGCGAGGCAAAGTATAAACTAAGAAGCAGCATTTAGCAATGGATAGAGTGTCTCTAATTTGGTCAGCCGCTTCGATAATGGTGGCCTCAGATAACAGCTCAACCTTGGAAAAAGCACATTAACTATTTTTGAGGGAGCATTGGAACCAAGTCCAAGTCAGGAAGCTGCTACTTCGACCCCTCCGAAACATTTTTTCAACGTAAAGCGCGTCTAAATTGCTGACTTTCTGAGTTTCTCCGTGCCCAGCGTTTCTGAAACTGGTGACCTCTCCAACTACCATGACTTGCATAAACTACATACAAACTTTGGGGCGTTTCAGCCAAATCCAGCTCACAAGTCGTTAAAGTGATCGCCTTAAAACCTGTAACAATGGACAAACGCACATGATTTCATCAGAAGACGGCAGTTCCGACGCCAGTGACCTCAGGTTTCCACCTCGAACCACATGCATCCTCGAAAAACAGCTTCGACTTAACCACTTCAAAGCATTGTAGCCAAGTCTAAACGCGAACATCATTGAACCAATGTCCCCAAACCTTAACCAATGAAGAGGCCACCTACGGTCTCACCAGCCCTTCCAAGGCTGGTAACCGCCTGGTTCTCACGTTGGCCACCAACTTGCATGAACCACCTCGTGGCACTGCAAGAAACCACTAAATCGACCAACCCCGGAGCCTCTATCGATGGATAGGGCTCCGATTATTTTTCAGCCCTTCGGCTAATGACAACGCCAGGTCGTTATCAAGACCTTCAAGACTTCACTAACCACTCTGCGGCACCACAGTGCAGTCCAAACTCAGGGAACCGTTGAACCCATTATCTAAGACATTTTATTGATAGATATAGCGCCTATAATTTCAACGGCCACGATGAAATAGGTGATATCAGGTCACCACATCGACTTTAAAATAAGCCCAAGCCACTCTGGAGCACCACAGTCATGCTCAGATCTGGGCATGGCCGAACCCATCGCGTCCAAACCTGTTGAAATGCCCCTAAAGGCCTGTGCAGGATTTGAAGGTTTACACGGCGGCCTCGGGTTAACAGCTTCAGGACGGATTGTAAAATCACAAGAGCTCTACCCAGTGTTGAATGCTTCCAGGCAACCAGTCCAGAGGTAATGCGCGAAGTCGTTTATACAGTTATGCGGTTATGAGGATTCAGATGGTGACCTGTGGTTTCATACTGGCTAATAAAATGGCAAATACTCTCCTTTATCTAAGGTTTCCAGGTGATCAGTTCAGTAGCTTCCGAGATCAGACTTGGCCCCAGCCCTATGCAGTTTTCGTAATAAATTAAGTGACCTGGGGTCGACACTTTCAGGATAGTCGCTGAAGCCAAGCGTACTCTACATATTGATACGGATTGTGGGGTGATTCGTTCACCGATTCCTGAGTTTGAACTTGGCTGCAATGCGCAGGTAGCTGATGCGATTTTGGTAGGTCAAGATCGTGGCCTGAGGTGAGTACTTTGAGAACGGTTGATGAATTCAAAGACCCTCTGTCCACTGGTAAAGCTTTTAAAGCGACTGGCAGGAGTTTTTCTCGCTCGAACTTAGCTGCAGTTTCTGGATGCACTTTGTGCTGCTTTTTGAATCGTTAATGCAATTCACTTCAGGGCAGTGAAAAGCCGGAATCGCTCACCTTGGGTGTGAAGTCGGTGTCCAGCAGGATGTTGGCGGACTTGATGTCGCGGTGGATGAGCGGCCGCTCCCGGCTCGTGTGCAGGTGGACCACGCCGCGCGCCGTGCCCACCGCGATCGCCAGCCGACGCTCCCATGCCAGAGGCGGCGAGTCCTCCTGCCGGACACATTCGCTGAGTTTAGCGTCGGCGGGCCCCCTGCGGAACACGCTCGCTCGAGTTTAGTGTCGGCCAGTCCCCCTGCCGGACTGGTCTGCTCGAGTTTAGCGGCGGCGAGTCCCCCCACGGAACATGTCCGTTAGAGTTTAGCGTCGACGGCACCCCCTGCTGGACACGTCTGCTCGAGTTTAGCGGCGGCGAGTCCTCTAGTCCTTGTGGGGTCTGGTTAGCCGCGGCGAGTGCTCCCGCCGCACGAGGGATCAATGTGATTTGTATTGAGAGCACTTGGTAGGACTCAGAATTGAATGAAATGAAGTTACCGCTCCGGTTATTTGCTTGTTGATTCCTTTTTTCGTTACCAGGGGCATATGTGAGTCACTGGAAGCAAGCTTCATTTTAAGCCAGCTTTCGGTTCAGCAACATGGGGGATCGCTTGCAATCTTACGGGAACCCGGCCGGTGACCGCCCGCCCCCTCCCCCCCTCCTTCCATCCTCTTTATATGCGTATGCGTGGTGGGAGGTAGTTGAAGAAAATGTCTGGAGACCTCTGTTTCGTCTGTGTAAAGGAACAATCGTAAACAGATGGGGATAGGACTAATTGAATCCTTATATCATCACTGCCATAACGCTTGCCGATTTCGCGCCATGTAGTCATAGGTCGAAGCTGATCATGCACACGAAGACAGGAAAAGAAGTGATCCGAAAACGGTATTTCAGGCATTCTGATGTGATTAACCCACGATCCGCTTGCTAAGAAAGATCAGCGATTGTTCAGTTTTCAAATATTGTTTTCAAAATGCGCAGCATGCGCACCTTGTGCAAAAAGTCTGTAGACCCAGGGGTGGCCCGCCCGTTTCGCTGGCCGCCTATGGTAGTGATTTCGATGCGTACTGACGACTACGTTGGCACTTTTCCATCAATCAATTTGTGGTTTCATCTTATCACTTCGTAAGCTATAACAATGGAGCATAAAATGTTCGTATCTAGGTAACGTATAACGTGTAGCGCAGAGGCATAACATGTAGTAGTAGACGCAGCAGATTTCAGGGACGATGGACACCAAAAATCTAAAGGCTACCATGACACAAAACCTTTTGCTTTTGTATTCAGCATCAAACTATAAAAAACGATGACCATATGACCTGACTAGCCAAGCTATCAAGTACCTATAAGTTTGGGATATCAATCACGTTGAATCTGGCTGCTCTCTAGCGAACGACTGCTTTAACACGCGTCCGGGTGGCCGGCTAGATACCCTTCGCTGTATGGGTATCTAGATATATGTATAGCTATCAAGTACCTATAACTTTGGGATATCAATCACGTTGAATCTGGCTGGTCTCTAGCGAACGACTGCTTTAACACGCGTTCGGGTGGCCGGCTAGATACCCTTCGCTTCGGGTGGGGGTCAATTCGACCCCCTTGAGATCTCGGAATCTAACAGAGCTAGAGACACAAAATTCACAGGGTGTGTTGACTTGCACGTGAACTCACGTAGAACAAAGTTTGAGGATCCTAGGTCATGACCTTCGGGTCAAATAAGGTCAGACAAGCTCAAATTGCAGGTTGGTTTCCAAAGTGCCCTGAGAATCTAGGTAACTGTTTCTAAGCAAAAGGTCACATGTCCATTGAGGCCAGTGACCTTGTTTGACCTTTTTAAGGTCATGGTGACCACAGTCATACAAGACTGCTCTGAGTTTTGCACCTGAATAAGCAACAAGGATAACGCTATATGTTACGTTACACCAGTACGTTTCGAAAACAAAATGTTGAACTGGGTCATTTTGGGTCAATGACCTATTCTGAGCTATAAGAAGCCCGTTGGAAGATGCATAATGCGGTTCCTGCTATCGATAAATTCGAAATAAGCACCAGAAACTATCCCACACAGCACTCCCCAGAGCAATAAAACAGGTTGGTTTTGACCTTGATCTGACCTTTATACCAGACCTTAGGCCAACGTTATTTGCCCATTCGATATTTGCGTTGCCTAAGAAAGCATTTGAGAAATTTATGGCGTCGTCTAACACTTCGTTGTTGCATCAGATTGAACGATTCCTTACAAAATGACTTCGCTGAAACCATGGCCTGACTTTAACCTGCCATAGGTCAGCGACCTTACAAGGTACATCAAAGTTTTTGATGCCAAACGATCCGCTATTCAATTGTCTAGAGCCATACAAAGAAACTATTTTGCAAAAACCTTCAAGGGGTCAATTTGATACCCACCCGAGCGCGTGCTGACGAACGAAATGAGTAACGGCAAAAGTGAAATAGTAATTTAAGATGCAGCCTATGTTATTTACGTCATTTCCGCACCGATGTGACCATGGCTTCGCAAAATTGGTTGGACAGGATTACTAGTAAAAATAACGTAACCCAATTAAAAATACGCCGACAAACGGGGCTTTCCCTAGACTTGACCCACTTTCTTGTCCAAGCTTGGGAGGGGGGGGGGGGGCGGAGCACTCTGAAGTAAAAGTGGAACTCCTGACTCCTGAAACGTTATCATGGTGGTCCAGGCACAGCAACGCATGACTATCAAGTTGGGACCTCCATCTGCAAGCCAACTGCTCGGCGTGATGCCGTGAGGTGAATCGGCTTCAGGTGATTAGCGCAGCAGAGTAGTGAAGGGTAGTGACCGCTGGCCACCCTTTCCACTCCGTTCGTTTTTTAGTACGTCAGCTGTGTTACATAGTGTACACATAGTGCACACAAAAGTTAAGTATCACATACTTTTGCGGGCAAGCGTGTAAAACATCTACTTCCGCTGAGCACCATGGGGTAAATCACTTAAAACTTTGACAACAATAGGGCAGTTACCGCTCGCTACCTGACCCGTGCGCTGCCCAGATATTGGTACGTTGTGTGCTGCCCGAATATTGGTACCCGCGTGCTGCCCATTTTGTTTAAGGTAATGCGACGCAGGTCTTCGACCCGATCCTCCTACAAGGGAGCAGGAGGCGCCAACCATCCGGGTCCACACCCACGACACTCTCCAGGCTCCGCGTACACAATTATTCGTGCGCTGCTCAGATGTCGCTGGACTACGGAATGCATGCCCGTAGTTTAAAAAAAGAAAAACGATAAAGTGATGACAATAGCGTGGGCTAAGACCTGAGTCGAACGCTCGCACAGCACACACACACAGACATGCTGCGCCACATTGTCGTGTGACCAAGCCGATGAGGCCCCGAACTGCGACAACTCAGAAAGACTATAGAAAAATCATCCAAGGCCCACGGCTGATATCACCATGCGCAAGCTTTCCATGTCTGAATAAGAACAAATGATTGTTCTTTTAAATGATGCTCTTCGGGTTTTATAACGCGTTCCTTACACTCCAAGAAAATCATTCTGACTCCTACTCCCAGCGCTAGAACAAAACGCTATTGTTCAGTTGCCACTTGTCAAACGCTGCTGCTATGTTTCTCCCGCGTTCCACAGGATTCCAAAATGCACCCGGTGAATGCAGGAGTTTTTCTCGCATTGGCGCGCTTCCCAATGAGCATTCCTGCCGTTCAATTTACGAATTATTCTTCAGTTAATCAACGCTGCTTCTTTCTATTTATCTACGCAAATGGTTGAAACGATGCATTTCATTGTCATCCTGGCTCAGCTTTTTCACCACAAAGAATTAATGGACCAAAGATCAAAAACTACTGCTGGCCGCCGGCTGATACACTGCGCATGCGTTTTCCGTCGTTTTGCTTACAATACTTGACGGCGACGATTGGTCGATCGATCAATGACATTTCGACGCCGCGAAAAAACAAAATTATAACAATTTGGGTAAAGGACATGTTTGAAAGAGATGGTGCACAGAACGATGAATAATCGGACGGCAAGTGCATGTGATGAACAGGCAATTGAGGTGATGCAACTTTCGCTGCGATCCTGGCCGCAGCTTAAACTGTGGCCAGGATCGTGGCGAAACTTGGTGCCGAATGCGGCGATCCTAACCAAAGTTTAAGCTGTGCCCAGGATCTGGTGCATTCGGCGCCGCGTTTCCAAATGTCCACATTCCCGGCTTGCCTGAGGACTACCGGCGAAGCTGTGTCGCACAAACTTGCGTTGGTCATACGAATTGTGGCCGGCACGTTGCTGGGCGCTTTGAAGTTGAATTCACGCCTCCACTGGCTCTGACTGCCGAGATAAGGCCCAAAACATGGAGAACGCTGTCGAAAAGGGACAAATCTATCGTTTATGGCGTAACATGCTGTATGCAGCGTATCACGTAGCGCATGGCACGTAGGACGTGCAATCGCACGACACGCGGTTCGCCGTTCATTTCTCTATGAAAACGGGTCAATTTTCCGTCGCTCAGGCCGCGATTGCCGAGATATGGCCGCCGTTTCGGACAGCTGCTCGCGGGTTTTGGCGCGGGTCACCTTTTAGGGCGGCCATGCACGACCAGTGGGGCAATGGGCCCACATGGCACCGCGCCACGCGCCGTCCGTTGACCGCAACGACACCAAATTCACCAATGCACGCAGTCTCGTGCACACGCACAACGTATCAAAAGCATACATTTAAGCAGCCCTCCATTTGACCTGCGTATTGATCAGATGGCAACAGGTGACGAACGCACACACGGACGCACCCTTTTCAAATAGCAATATGCATCCAGTGTCAATCTTTGCGTGCCATTTTCCGGTCTCCACTCCCATTGATTTCAATATTACATTTGATACACTCCACAATTAAATATGCAATCACATTGGCTGTCTCCGAAAATGACGTTTCTCTTTCAGCAAACATATGCTTTCATCATCCAAAATCAACACTTTGCTTACTGTCGTCGAAAATGTTTACGTTAAGCGGAACCCGGAGCGCTTATACATGTACATCGAGGCCTGGTTTAGCTAGGCGCACCGTGCCGCTCTTAATGAGCTCACTCCGCGCATCCGCGCATCTTCTGACCCATGGTCATCATCATCACCATCATATTTATTTTCATCGGCCGTAAAACAATAACGAAGAACGTTACAAGGATTGATGCAAGGCCTACACAAGCTATATCTTGGCGCCTCTCACTATTATCCCCAATCAACAGCGGCGTCCCCCTCCCCCCGTCTCCTACACGCACACACGTAAGGCCTGCCCTAAACGAATAGTTCTAGCGGTGGCCGCTAGGCACCGGCACGATACCGCCCCGCCCAAGGTGTCCGGCACGCATCACGCATGCTTGGAGGGAGGCAGCAAATATCAACCCCGGAGCGAGACGTTAAATTTGGACGCGTCGAAAAGGGTGAAGACTTCGGGCATGCTTCTGGTCACTCTCTAGCACTTGATATCTATGGCAATGGCAATGTCTAAAATCTCTGCCCCTCACGCCTTCAGCTCTTCCGATTTTGAAACGGCAAACATGAAAAGCATGCAAATTAGTAGCTAAATAGCAAGTAGATAGAAGAGCACATAATGTATGTTCCTTCTGAAGCATGTATGTAAGCAAGGAAGACCTTGATCTCCTGGTTTCTCGGTCTTGTGAGTTGGAAGTTACATGCTGGTAACAATCGACCTTTAATTTACAATGAAATGCTGGGTAAACAACGAACTGAAGCACACATCCGTTAGCTCACCAAATTCGCTGGTCTGAAGCTTCGCTCATGGCCACTAGCGGTCACGAGCTTTCCATTCTAGCCAACACTTCATATAACCAATATCAATTTTCTCCCCATCGACAACACTCGCTTGATCACGTCGTTTCATCAGCACCTCCTGTTACATTGAAAGTTGATCATCGCCAGCATATAATTCCCAACTAGACAGCCACCGCTTCAACACAGGGTGGCTTTCTACGCCCCTTGGTGAGTTTGAGACCCATCGCTTCAGGAACGCCGAAGCGTTTGCGCCGCGCCCCGCAGTCACACTTCCGTTCATTTTCGCTCCGTTCGTCATTGCTCACAGTTGTGCCTCAGCTATCACAACAGACGCGTGAGCCGAGTTGGAAAGCGTGGTCGGCCACGGTCGGCTGCTCATCAACAGCTGTAAACTTTAGGTTTTGAACAGTCCGTCAACTTTTAATACGGGAGAAGACGCCCCAATGTCGCTGGGCACCGATCGGCCGTGAGAATCAGGCAATGGGCTGACCTTTACGGACAGGTCGACCGCGCTGCGACCTCCCATAGGTCAAAGGGCACATGGCAATTCGCGCAGCACTTGACCTCTCTGAAAGATCTGCGAGATCGATGGCTGTGTACCCTATGATCGATGAAACCCTCATCTAACGCCCTTCTTGAAGTAAGAACGGTGGCACCGTAGTGTCGTAGTGTATCTAAGAAAATGAGATGCGTACCATCACGAGTTGGAACACCGACAAAATAAAAACTAGCAGAGGCTACTTTCGCCTGTAAAAGTGACGTCTAGAGCAAGTATCTACGAAGACACATTTCGCAAAGTGCGTATACATGTACCTACGGCCGCGTGGCGTTGCTTCGACGACGAATGCTCGATTGCTCGACGACGAATGCTCGATTACCTTGCATGCCAAGCGATCCTGCAGCGACCCGTTGACCATGTAGCTGTACACCAAACAGTTGTACGCGCCATCACAGGAGAACCCCAACAGCTCCAGCAGATTAACGTGCCTGAAACTAAAGATGGTACATGGTAACGGAGTGAGAACCTCAACGTCTCTCCCAAGTGTATGTCTGCCAAGGCTCTCTAGGTGCTTCCTATGTCAGGAACCGGAAATCGCGAGGCGCAATACTAACAACGGTAGCACATTTCTCTGCCAAGTAAGGTATATATAGACACAGGCAGACCAGCATGCTTTCTTACATAATTAGGACAGATTCTCGAAAGTCCCAAACCGACCATGCCCTAGGGCATCTCTTTGGGGTCGTACGGGCCCCGTCTCACGACAAATACCCAGTTCCCAGCAGCGTGATGACACCTCTACTTCTCCTATCCGCCCATTACCTCCCAGGCCTGCTGACCTGGACATGACCTCGACCTCTGTGCGGAACTGGCGGCGCACGGCCTCGACGTCCGCCACGAGTCGCTTGACGGCCAGCCGCTCGGCCGTCTCGCAGGTGCCCAGGTAGACGGTGCCGTAGGCGCCGGCGCCCAGCCGGCAGCCGCCCGCCGCTACAGCACGGTCGTCGAACTCGTTCGTGATCTGCTGACACGGAGGTAGCGACGCAACGGCGCGGACCACGTGGAGGCACCGGCTGATGGGCTCACGCGAAGTTAAGTAAATCGGGGTGAAATCAATATTGGTGCCGTCCGGTGCACACTGGCTCGTGCTGTGCTACCAGACTGTCGGATGCGGGAGTGTCAGTTGGGTATGAGGAAAAGAAAATACAGAGGTAAGATGCGACACATCCGCCGCATGCGTAGCGGCGAGGCTTCGGCGCTTCTTTCAGCCCACGGCGTTTCATCACATGCACCGAAGCCGTGGCGACCAGGTCAACACTGAATTAGAACGTTCTGCGCAACGTGTTTTTTTTCGAATAACATATGAGCTCACACACGAATTATGACGAGAACTACTGGACGAATACTTTGGCCGCAAATGGATACGAGCAAAAAAAATTACTGGTGGGGGGGGGGGGGGGAGGCAATGTTTCTTACAATGCTGAGCAGACAGACCGCACGAGTCCAACGGAAGAATTCCACAAAATTAGACGCTAGATACGAAATAGACACTCGCTAGATAATCTGAGATAATGGGGAATTATTAGGAATGATTACATCTGCAGAGTTGGATACATGCGGCCTCGGCAAGTGCCTGTGTGCACGGCTAGATTTCAAGCTGAAATGTCAGGCTCTTTGAGATAAAGCAGAGTCAAGACCTTAATAAATGAAGAAGGCCCACCCACACTAGTCTTAAGTCCACCCACACCGAGGCGTAACACCATCCAGGCCCGGCGTGCTGACCAGCGCGGCTATACTGCTCCGTCAGCAGTGCTGTGTGGGCCCATGCTGAGCTGCCCGGCAGGCCCTTTACACCTGCAGCACGATCACGCCCCGCGAACGCACGGAATACGAGACGGTCACGTCCCCGCCGGCGCTGGAGCCAGCCTCACACCGCAGTCGCGTCACAGTCCCGACCTTCTCCAGGTAGGCGAAGCTGAAGTGTCGTATGTCCGCCGGCGGCTCCGGTCCCGGCTCCGGGCCCAGCTCCGGCTCCGGCTCCAGCTCCGGTTCCTCCGGGCTCCGCTCCAGCTCCTGGCCCGACTCCGGCTGCGGCTCCGCGGGAGCCGGCGGCTCGGGGCGCGGCCGCTGCTCCTCCAGGATTCGCTGGACGGCTGCCTCGTCGTGCGGCACGGGCGCGCCGGGCCCGGCCAGCGGCCGAGCCATGGGCGCCACTGGCGACGGCGCACCGCGACTGTTACAACCCCGGCAATCGTCCCACCAGGCGTCATACCAGCACGCGTCGCTGATAATAATCGCCAGGCTTAGGAACGGAAGGAGCCCGGCGTTACCTTGTAGGCAGTACTGCGTCCCCGAAAAACTGTCCGTCTCGCAGCAACGGAAATAAATGGAAGACAGGATCAATTGATGGGACAGTCTAGATTGGGTAAGGCAGCAGCGTTTCAGGTCAAGAGCTGCATACATGAGCAATGAAGTCTGATGTGTTGTCCCCATCTGTCGACACGCAATCACCTTTCAGGCGTTATCTGTCTGTTGACCGGTTTTGAATGCAGAATTCGAGTACTGAGATCTCAACACTTCGCCGTAATCCTTCCTGACAAATATTCCTTTAATTTTGTAATCCTTAATCTTTCCTTAGTTTCTTCGTACTTGTCCCAACCTTTCCTTAATTTCTTCGTACTTGTCCCAATCCTTCCTTAATTTCTTGTATTTTTTTTCCGAATTTGTTTATGACGAGATGTAAAGGACACACCTTTCCTTGTTTACCGACTGTTTTGTTGTCTTTTGACCTTTTTGGGGACCTGTTGAGACCCATTCAGTGGGTTTAAAAAACGGCGATATATTTAAACTAGTTTAATTCGGTTTTACCACGGTGTCGCTTTTCCAACCAAAACTCTAGCATTCCGAACGTCAGAAGATCACAAAGGTGTTGAAAACCCGAAGCGGTATTCATCACTAAGTTTTCTAATCCTTTTTTATCGCAAAATCAAAATCGGTTCAAAAATATGCTTCTTCTTTTTTCCATATGTATGTGAAAAACGAGACAGCACGTTGGGATAACACTGTTGCTGATATGCGAAAAATTTCAGGGTCGCTTGAGCCCCATTAGGGCGTTTATCTATAATTACTTCTGGTCTTAAAAGCAATTTCAGGGGCGCTTAAGCCGTATTAGGACCTTTGTCAATCATCGCTTCTGGTCTTAAAACTAGCATGTGTGCTTTCTCTCCATCTTCCTGCCAACTGGCTGCACAATGCCGTTCTCCACAGGCGGACTTTGGCGAGAAAACAACTCATCAAATGAATTTCCCGGCCACATTTCAAACTCGTCTTCAAAATAGCCAACATGTAGCATTTCTAAAAGTTTAGCTACTCGGAATAACTTACATGCGTACAAGAAGTTCTTTCCAGAACCCATTCCTGCAAAGCAAGGTTCATTTCATGTTGGCCCAGTTTGGACGAAGTGCTTCCAAATTCAAAGGTTTTTTTATTTTGCTATTTCGTGCAATTTGGAGCTTTGCAAAAGTTTTCCCTCCACGGCTACGTGAGCCTCGTCGGCACGACAGTTCAGTGCTGCTCTGTACACGAGAGGAGCGCCGACACCTACAGCGACGGCTCCACCGACTTCGCCGATGATTCGCCTCGCACTCAATTTCAGCGATTTCAATGACAAGTACTTGCATGTGTCGCTTATGCGCAGACACGTGAGGGGTCGATGTCTACCGGTACCGGCAAACCCGGTGTATTGGTCTGATCTTTCGTGCCGATTGCAAACTCTCGATAAGGCCTCATCCGCCCCGGACCGCCGTCCGCCCCTCACCCTCCAGCACGGACCGCCGTCCGCCCCTCACCCTCCGCCCCGGACCGCCGTCCGCCCCTCACCATCCAGCACGGACCGCCGTCCGCCTCTCACCCTCCAGCACGTTGACGTTGATGTAGTCGGCGGCGCGGTACAGACTCAGCTCGGTCAGCAGCATCACCAGGTCGTCGACGGTGGGACGCTCGTGTCGTCGGCCCCAGGTGCCCCACTCGTCCAGCAACACGTCCGTCTCACTGCGGCCGCTGCGCGCGCTCTCTTCGCTCACCAGCCTGCAGTGTCACGTGACTGACGAGTTACGGACGGCCTTCGTCGCTCACTGCTGTGTACTATAGCGTGATCCGGGTGTTATGTATTACCTGTTTTTGATCACTGTTCTGCTGGCCGTTCACTAGCCCGATCGCCCGTGACTGGAAGTTACAGATGGGTTCTATTCGCTGGTCATCAGGGGTGTTCCCGATGTGTGACGATGTACAAAAATGAAACAATAGTTACGTGATAGCCGCGCTTATGAAAACCAAAAGACGGAGCGTATTTACTTTCATGGCGTACCCCGGACCGTTTCACGCAACACCAAATGTAGATCACAGCACTTAGCTAACCAGCGGCTCCGTGGCCGGCTTGCGAGCCATTTGCAGCCTGGTCTAGGTGGTACGATTCCACTTCCGGCCACCCATGGCGTGGTCCAGGAAAGCATTTTAGGATCGATGCTGTTTGTACTGCTTACTAATGACCTTTCTTTTTTATTCACTGTGGACAACTCATGAGGTATGCCGACAGTGCCCACTTTATGGATGCAGACACTCTGGCCAACACCGGCGACCTTCGTGGTGCGATGGAGATAATCCTAACACCGCTGCGCATTGGCTTATGCAAAACCGACTAAAAATTAATCCTCGTAAAACTGCTCTTCCGCTCGTAAAATCTCCTCAATTTGAGGACGAGGAAAATGCTAGGGTGAATGGCAATGTTTCACCTTCTCGAGCAGATGTATCGACCTGGTTATGAGCTGATTGTACCACTCACGTAGCCTAGGTGTTTTCCTAACCATAATTACATTAACTGATGAGTTCGTCGCGACGATTTACTACATGCACTGACTCGGAAATCGAATGAACCGCGTCCTGGGGAATTTTTACGAATACATACATACATGCATAGATAAAACATTTCAATCGTTACCAAACATGCAATTGGACGCAAGCTGCGCTGCTGAGCACCAGACGTGTCCAACAGTTTGAAACAGCGATTTGGCCTAGGTTCAGTCAAATGGTTTCCGGCCTAATTACGGTGGGCAGCCCAAAACTTATGCACAAACTTATGCACAATAACCGGCTGGCCGCCCTCTCCGGTCACGCGTCCTCCTCTTACTGAACATGCTCGTTGGTGAAGAGGGCCACGTTCGAGCCGGGCCGGCGCACGCGACCCATCAGCGTCTTCCAGGCACCGCGAATCGCCAGCATCTGGCCCAGCGTGTTGCGCACGTGCGCCGGCAGTCGGCGCAGCTCAGCGTTGCCGCGCAGCGAGGTCATGCCCTGCGGCAGAGGCGACGCCGGTCAGCCCCGGCGCGGCCCACCGACGAGCGGCGGCCGCTTCTGACACCGGCCTGCCGGCGGCCGCGCAAGCCCGCTATGCTAGCAATGGCCTTTCCTGTTCCATTAAGCGCGCAACCTCGTAGCGTCCATCAATGAATTCAAAAACATCGGGCGCTGAGCGTCGACGGCCAGCACCACCGTCCTAACAGCCTCCACTGGAGTGACAACGTTCTTATCAACCCCTGACATTGACCTGGCTATCCCTCGCCCAGGACCGGCCTGGCGACCTCGCCAACCGGCGTCGCGACACATGGCCTTCACGAGCGCTCCAGCTCGTCCGGCCGCCGTTGCCGGGTCAGTTCTGGCACTGTTGCCGACGGACACGGCCGGGTTTTACGACCGGTGCCGTATCTCGCCCGATAAGACCGCTCTCCTATGAGTCGCGTTAATCTTCACCTCTCCGAGGCCGGCAACCGGATGAAAAGGACGTCTGACAGTGGGGCTTTATTGGCTCAAACAGCGCTCGCTCTGGTGCAGAGGATGTGGCCAGGTGAGCTATGGCTTGCGAGAGGCAGTTCAGGCATCGCTCCGGCCTTCGAAGCTGACGCGCTGTAAGTGCACGTGAAAGTAGGGCCAGCTGGAGCGGGCGCACAGTCGGACGCGCACGGACATTGCCAAGTTCGCAACAACACACAAAACCGACTCACTATACAGCGCGGTAAAAACGTGCGGCATAAAACCACAAACAGACTGCTTCTGAACAAAGCCCCTGCCGTGCGTTGATGTCGCGCTAGGCGGGGTTGGTGATGTTAAACCTGCCATCATTACCCGTCACAAGCATGAGCCCGCCGTCAATCGGGACCAATCCTTATCACGCACAGCCACTGGCTGCAAGCGCCACCTGGCCAGCCATCGACCGCTTCCAAGCAGCGCTCCGCAGCATCACCCAGCCGACGGCTCCTAGCGCATCTCAGCCCTCCCTAACGTGTCACACTCGCTCATCTGAACTTAGCTACGAAGATCGCGCAGTGATTACAGCCCACGGTATCGTAACACTTGGCACCAGTCCCTGCGTCTGTTGCTCATCTGGACATCGTCGTAACCATCATCAGAATCACAGGATTCACATCACTGGGCGACGCCCGGGCCTTACAGCGTACTGGCCCAGGTCGCTGGGTCATCGTCACTTGCAAACGTTACAATCAACAAAGTGGAGTGAGCAGCTTAAAATAGACGAGTGGTGTGAGCGCGGATAAACAATGTAACAAAAGACTACGCAACACCATTTCCGAAATCACAACACCAAGTTGTTCAAAAAATGGCCAGCGCGTGAAGCTTCCTGAGAAGTGAAGCAGCGGCACGCGAATCGGCCTGTGGAGTAAAGTAACTACACGTGAATCAGCCCGTGAGGAGGAGCCACTGCACGTGAAGCGGCCTGTGAAGTGAAGCAACTGCACGTGAATCAGCCTGTGAAGTGAAGCAGCTGCACGTGAAGCGTCCGGCAACACCACACAACGCATTCGTCCTTCCCATCTGTCCGCAAAATGTGCAGCCGAGATATGTTACGTGTACTAACAGTCCGGGGGAACAACAAAATCCGTTAGTCAGCGGACAGCGCTTATCCGTGCCCTGCGACCCCAACAAGACACCCGCCACGGAGAGGTGCTGCCCACCCGGAGAGAGCGCGGGTGACAGGTGGATCACCTCAGACGTCAGGGCACAGTATTCAGCCCTCCCCTGCCCACTGGGTCAGCACCCGGTCCAGGAGCGCTCCTCCAGCGCCCCACGCTCTGACCAGGAGCCTCCAGCACCTGCCTCCAGCTAGTGAGGGCGACACCTCACCCGGTCCCATAGCCCGCTTCCCGCTCCACCCCCGCCGGCTCACTCGATCTTGGAGGGACAGACCCAGCCGCCGGCCAGGCGCTCCAGCTCCTCGGCCACGGCCAGCGTCAGGTGGTCGCGGCCGCGTGCCGCCACCACCTGTGCGCCGACCGGCACGCCCCACGAGCCCAACCCCAGCGGCACCTGGCTCACGGGCAGCTCCAGCACGTTGAAGATCGACGTGTAGGCGAAATTGAAGCCCTTGAAGAGAGGCTGCAGGTGGTAAGGCGCCGGCGTCGGGTGCGACGGGTAGAGCAGCACACCATCGTCGCCCAGCGTCGCCTCAAACTCGGCCTTGAGTGCCTCGCACATGCGCAGGAAGTCGCGGCTGCTCTCCGTGTCGGCGGGCAGGCGGCGCTCGGTCAGCGCCAGCAATAGCGCCGGCAGCGTGTGGTCCGACAGCATCAGACACCACTTGAACAGCTCCCAGCCGGGCCGGACGGCGCCGCAGCGCTCGCGCAGCTCCGCCGCGAACGACGGCGCCTCCGTCACGCTGCCCATCTTGTGCGCCCAGATCTCCAGCTGGTGGAAGAGCGCGCGCAGTCGGAGCGGACGCACGCGCACGCCGTGCGCGCCCTCCAACAGGCGGGCGGCGCGCTGCAGCCCGCCGCGCACGTCCGCGTGCACCGGCGACGAGAGGGGGAAGCCGCCGTCATCCTCCATGATGAAGAAGCGCAGCTGAGAGGGCGAAGCGCGCCGGTCGAGCGCCAGCAGATGCAGGTTGGGCGCGGCCAGCACGCGGTAGAGGGGAAGCAAGTCGCCGGCGTGTCGGCACATGGGGCCTGTCACCAGGAACGTGTCGAGCTCGCCGGTGGCCAGCGGCAGCTGGCCGGCGTTGCACACCACACCGGCCGTCGGCTTGTGGCCGAAGATGCCGTTGAAGAAGCAGGGCATGCGGATGGAGCCGCCGATGTCGGAGCCGAGGCCGAACGGGCTGCCGGCGGCGGCCAGCAGCGCCGCCTCGCCGCCGCTGCTGCCACCCGTGATGCGCGTCGTCACGTACGGATTGCAGGAGCGGCCGTAGATCTTGTTGGACGTCTCCCACCACATGCACAGCTCGGGCACATTGGTGTGCGCCAGCGGGATGGCGCCGGCCTTGCGCAGCTGGCGCACGACCGCCGCGTCCTCGTCGGCCACGCAGTGGCGGCGCGCCCAGAGGCCGGCCGTGTGCTTCAGGCCGCGGATGGCGATCGAGTCCTTGGCGGTGAACGGTACGCCCAGGAAGGGCGTGTCTCGCTCCAGTTCGGCCTCCGAGCGCTCGCCGCTCGCCACCAGCTTGTCGACGCCGCGCGCCTCGGCCAGCGCCTCCTCGAACCGGTCCTCGGTGACGCAGTTGAGAATCGGGTTCACCTCGCGGATGCGCTCCATGAACGAGCGCACCACCTCCTCGCTCTTGAGCTTGCCCTTGCGGATCATACGCGCCAGACTGACGCCGCTCTCCAGCAGCACCATGTTGCGGATGGGCGGCAGCGGCTCAGTACGATTGTTGTACGCCAGGCCGAAGACCAGGTCGGAGAACAGGCCCAGCAGCCGATAGACCACCTTGAGCAGGCGCCCTATCCATATCTGGCCGGTCGAGTAGCGCACCATCGCCGGGCCCGACTTGTCTGCCCCCGATCCGAGCGACATCGCGGGCGGCGTGCGGGCGGACGGCACGGCCGCGCAGGCACACTTACTGGGCGGAGCAGCGGTCCGAGGCAGGCAGAGCCGGAGTCCAGAGGCCAGAGTCCAGAGTCCAGCGGACGTCAGAGGCGGCGCTCAGCGACTGGAACAGAGGACAGGCGTGACCTGATCCGGGCAGAATTGTTGTTTGGAGACGGCAGGGACGGAGTTAGAAAAAAGGGATCGCCTGAAGTCAGAAAGAGCAGCATCTGAAAGCAAACAGGTGGGGCCACGGCACATTCCATATGCACACAGGAAAACGGATAGCAAGATTATGTCGGCATCGGCCCCCCATGAACGATTTGATGGACCCGTGGACTGTGCTGGGACGCAAGAGAGCAACACACCGCCAGTGGGTCAGTGACACTCCACAACACACGACACACTCACACTGGGTCGACTCGAGTGCTCGGTGCCACGCCGGTGCTCATCCGCCACGCACGTGCATGTCCCGTCCCACACCGCCCACCACCGAACTGAAGCACGGCCTGCTGGGCGCGACCAACCGCCGTATCGGTGACGGGTGGCGACCCGCGCCGATACGGCACGGCAGGACAGCTGACTGTCAGGGCCACCCGACACTGGGCCGCCGGCGGGCGGACCCGGCAGACGCCCAGTCGCGTTACCAGACGGCGGGCGCCCTAGGCGGCAACGGGCCGAACAGAGCACGGCGCTGGGATCACGAGCAGTTACTGGCAATAACTCACGTGGTGATAGTTTTCACGTCATGTCGGATTTCACCATTATATGTTGTCTCTTTTTCCCTACCTAGAGAATGTTTATCAATTTGTCTATACCATTACACAAGGAATCAGGGGAATACACAGGATTTAATCATGGGGTGGGGACACAACTCAAATGTTTTCACTGAAAACTGAGCTTAGAGCACTGCGTGAGCGTGCAATTCCTTATGTGGTGTATAAAAGCACCACATATAAAAGCACCATGTCCTTGATCCTCACGATATGAAATGTCTGCATGGAATTTTGAAGTGTCAACACCAACTCATGTACATGTTAACACAAGTCACATATTTGGTAACAGAGGTGGGGACATGTGTTCCCTGTTGCTATGATATGTACATGTTCCTGTGAGTAATCAAGACCATAATAAAAAAGCTCACCCCTCTTGGATTAGAATGGTGAAATTCTGAACAATGGTGTGCAACACTGTAATTACTTGAGCAGTGTTACAGAGCTGCTTGGTCCTGTGGCATGCAGTGACGTGGGACTAAGAACAGCTGTGGCAGCAGCTACTCCCAGCAACAAATAACATGTTGCAATGGCCCAGTGTAAACCCATCTCAAAGTTTTCACTTGGCTACAGCTGCTGTACTGTGGATCACCAACAGAGCTTATGTGGTACAAACATCCATGGCTTCTAAAAAACCCTGACTCCCATGTCCCATGCACCATACATCTTCCAAGCACAAAATGTTCCTTACATGACAAGTTAGAACACCATCTCTTTAAAGAGATGAGGATGAATAAAGCCCAACTACACCATTGACAGAAAAACCAGTAGTTAAAAAAGGTAGTTAACACAACTTACATAAACAGACCCCATGCATTGTTTATCAGCTAGGTTCAAACTAGATTGGGACTTGGCCTTTGCATGAACTGCACCTTAATGAACTTTCACACCAAGATAGACATGATTCACAGATATTGGTAAGTCAGACCTGTTATCAAGTTTAACTGAAGATAAAAAAGGTATAATTGATATGATAGCAATATGATTACAGAAAATGTATGCACTTATTTGCTTTGTTCAGCACAAAGAACACAGCTCACATGACAGCAAACTTTTGATTCTTTCATGACTATCTTTTCTCACAAGTCATCTTTTTAAGCCCTACTTCATTTAATTACATTAACCTCAGTACATATACTGCAAAAGTGTATATTATGCCCAGAACATGTCCAGTGTAGCTGTAATACTGAAACACAAATGTCAGGACAATTATGCCATAAATCTGGAAACTCTGGGTTTCTTCTGTGCATTGTCACCACCAATTTGAGTGCAAAAAAACATGTTTTACAGGATCACAATCCTGCAGACATAATTTCTGCCAAAAACATTACAAAACCACTTTTCAAAGGACATAAATTCAAACAAATATAGTTGTTCCTGAGTTAAGTGCGCACAAGTACAAGGCTCCGCAACTTGATAATATGAAGGCATCCTTGGAGTGGAAGAATTTTTGGCAGGCTGGTTCAGTACCACCCCAACATAAGACAAGCACCTAGTTCCATTATGGCAGCATTTTGATCCCAAGGACCTCAACTGAACAACAAGTTAGAAATAACAGTTACTGAGGTGTAAGCAAAACTTTATTCAGGACCTACATGACTAGTAATTAAACAGTCATTTCAGGGAATCCACAACAATAAACAATCAAGGCAAGTTGCATGGGCTGGCATAGTACTACACATCTGCTCTGGTGCCAGCAACTATACATCTTTTGTCTACAGATACCTCTGAAAAGCTCACGAGACCGATCTGTTTTAGAAACTTTCAGACATCTGCTTAATCCTTTACCTGTTCAGCTATCGGTCCCCAGCCTTTGGGCCTGTATCGCCCCGGTGGTCAATATGGGCCAATCACTCAACGATTCATTCAACCTAACGGCTAACAGCGAAGCATACCGGTAAATAAAGATATTCACATAACTACACTTCTATGCGGTATTGAATGTAGCTCTGCTCCCAAGCATTAATATCTACAACTACGCGAAGCTATTAAACTTACCACACCCCCAACGCCCTGGCCCTTTCATCCGCCAAAATGAACAGAATTGACAAAAAAACAGCCAACCACTTTATGTTGGTCTGACTCTAGTCACAATACTGTGACTCTATTGGTGATGCGAAACTGTCAACAGCCCTCGAACGGCTGTAGCACCATTTTCGTAACAGACGCGCCAGAAATAATCTGGTTTGCGTACGCATGCGGCGTGAACTGTGTTGACTAGGAATTTTAGGGCCCGTGGGTTAGAGCGTCGAGTCGGGTTGCGTTGGTGGATTTACAGCTATAAGCAGGTTCCTGCAACGGGGCGTGTGTGTAGGTACCTAAATCAACATAGTCATGTGCAATTGGAGGCACGAAAACTGCGTGCTTTTATGGTTTGGGGCTTGGGTTTATCCGATAATGCAATCTGGAGCTGTGGTCCAGACTTCAGACTTTCAGTGTGTAAGGAGCTTTGTCTGTTGAGCTGTGGTTCTGCCTCCCCTTATTTTCTTTTTAAGAGTTGGGAAACAAGGATTTTAGCCATTGCCAAAGCTGCATTACTCCTTAGAATTTTGCTATAATGTCATGCAACTTGTCAGAATGTGCATTGTGCCCCATAAGTCATGAAATATTATTTTTTTGTATCATGTTGCATTTCTCATTTATTATGTACATCTGTTTTTCACATGTGCATATGGAGTGCATGTTATAGGCTGCATATTGCTCCAACGCCTGAAGTGTGGCATGAATAGGTTTCACATGTCTTGTGTTCTTTCTATATGAGGCTGAAGATCATTTGTTAAAACTATGGGAATGGTTGCAACATTTAGCCTGACAGCTGGCAGTTGCTTTATGCTTATTTAGTGGTAGTCACTTGCTTGTTTTGTATCCCACCCATGTGGTGGGACAGCATTGCACCAATCTCATTTACTCTTGGGTATACTCAAGAAAGCCTGTATTGATGCTACATGTTTTCTAATTGAGATGATTCTGGTGATGACAGGTTAGGAGAACAACTGCATGCCTCAATAGGACAATTGTGTGCACATTCAGCCTACCATATATGGAGCATTTGACTTGCTTTACCCACAGAGCTTTTCAAATAAGAAGTCTGTTGTTCCTAATACTTAAAGGAACAAGTTAAATTTTTAGTTCCAAAGTGAAATCATTGATGGTTTCTACCACTACATTTTGGACAATCCTGACTCGTACCCATGTATCTTCCAAAGTTATCATTTTGCATGGACTCATCATTTTTGTGGTTGCAATATTTGGTTAATTTCAGAGCTTGCACTGGTTCTGCATGTGCATGTGTGTCATTGGGGCTTTGTGACATACTCAGTTGTTGAGGCTATATGGCTTAGCTGCCTCTCACCCCGGCAGGAAGGGTGGGCACTGCTGGGAATTGAACCCCTGTACCTCTGGTTTCCCGGACATGCAGTGGTTAATGCAGACACATTAACACTACACTACCAGCACCCCTGCATTGGTACTGCCAGAGATCAAGTACAAATATTTTAAACTTTATCAATTGGCAGTAATTTTTACCATGTGCAGTGCTCCCAAGATAAACTTATAGCATTTGCCATTGGGACTTTCCCATTTGCTATGCTGTTTTTCAAAGCATCTCATGATCATCTGCTTCATCATTTTTCAGGTTGGCATTTTTGTGAAGAACAAACATGCTAGTTCTAGTGCTTGGAGATTTACACATCCCTCACCGCTCCAATGGGCTACCAGCAAAGTTCAAGAAACTCCTGGTGCCTGGACGCATCCAGCACATACTCTGCACAGGTAACTTGTGCACTAAGGAGACCCTGGACTATCTGAAGACACTATCCACGGACGTCCACATCGTGCGGGGCGACTTCGACGACAACATCACCTACCCGGAGCAGAAGGTGGTGAACGTCGGCCAGTTTCGTATCGGACTGTGTCACGGCCACCAGGTGGTGCCCTGGGGCGACACGGAGGCGCTGGCGCAGGTACAGCGCCAGCTGGACGTCGACATTCTGATCTCGGGCCACACGCACAAGTTCGAGGCGTTCGAGCACGAGAACAAGTTCTACATCAATCCAGGCTCGGCAACAGGGGCCTGGCAGCCACTGGACAGCAGCGTGGAGCCCTGCTTCGTGCGATGGACATTCAGTCTGGCACTGTGGTCACCTACGTGTACCAGATGGTTGGGGACGAGGTGAAGGTGGAGCGGATCGAGTACAGCAAAAACTGATATGGTGCAGTTGGCGCCTGTACTGAACGATGGGGGTACTGGTATCATTAGTCCTCCCCAGGCAAAAATGGGCAGTGGTTGTTGCATCACGTATGAAGGTTTGGTTTGTTGGTGATGTACGTTTCGGTACAAGCATTAAAAGTCGGGATATTTTGTCAATAACACAGGCGGGTACTTGTGAAAACAGTAAGTAATTTGTCAGGTGTCATAAGAGCATGGAACAGTTTGTAGCATATGCTGGCTACTTAAGTTAAATTTTGAAAGAAAATTATCAAACTAAGCATGGCAAGGACAGATAATGTTTGGATTAGCGGGGCCCAAACATCCATTTAACGGGCTGTTGTTGCTTTTTCTAGGCTCGTTGCCTTGTGCATAAATGCGTGTTCGTTGATCCGGTGTGAGGTGGGTGACTCGATACGCCATTGTTCAGTTGCCGATATGAAGAGTATCGAAGCAGCTTATTCGAATGTCTCCCTATAGTGTGCAAGTGTCAATTAAATGAATTCTTTGTTTGAACACATATATGTGCTATAGCGCATGAGTGCATTCAGCGTACATATATTATGCCACAACCTTCTTTTGAACACCTTGTAGAAGGTATTCGTGGATATATTATAAATACAAACAAGAAAATGGCGGGTATTATAATTGCTCCTGCCCCGCCCCCTTGGTGGAAGCCAGCGACGTCGCCGATCCGTGACGCAGTCTTTTCCGGAGGCGGTGCCAACCGTCGACGGGGAGAGCGATCGGCGGAAAGCATCTCCCAAGTTTAGAGCCGTCCGATACCGTCCCAACGCGTCGACGTGGTCGGGATGGTAAGGATGCTCCGAGAATGTCGTCGTCGGTATCAGTCGATTGGTGTAATCGTGTGCCCTCTGTTGATTGATATAGATCGCAGAGGTTGCGGCAGCGTTTTCTGCTCTTGGAGTTGGTTGGACAAGTTCTGAAACAAGGTCATGAATGATATCCAAGAGTCATGGCCCCAAAGCAGCCAGACGCCTCGCGCGGCGTGGGACAAACGAAGCCATGGGATGCGTAGTAAATTCAGTTGTTTTGTTGATGATGCCAAAACTAAGCCAATGGAGCCGGAAATCGCGGTAAAAAAAAACCACATGTCTCCTGGCATGTTAGAAATTGAGACCATGTGACCAATGTTCCACCATCCAAAAGCCTCATCGGTGTCATATTCTTAAAAATCTGACACCCATGAAAACCTGGCTGCCAAAAACTGTCTGTGATTAATCTGGAACGATGACATTTCAGGCAAGCAACCGTGTGTTTAAGAATCACGTAAAGCGACGGTGGACATAAAAACATAAACGGTCTAATACTACTCCAATATACTGTGTGGAGCTACTACCTTCATCCATTTGAGGGGAGAACCGCGCCACGGCGGAGGAGCGGTGTTTTTTCAACCTGATAAAGGTTAGTATAAAAGAATTATCGTAGCCAGTAGGACTATCTACGATCAGTCTCTGCGATGACCGTATCGAACATCAATTCTGGGGAATTCCCAACATTAGGGCTAGCTCCCTGAGATCAAACGCCGGCGGAACGCGTCCATAACATCTGTATACCATGCTGCCCACATCGGCTCCCCACCTTGTCATGACAGCTTTCAGCAACATGACAATTCTGTAGAAATACACGTCGTGCTCAGAGATTGTCGCATTGTCATGCTGACTTGATCGGATGGGCTTTTCCTGCAACGTTGCAGTCTCCACACTTATTTCGCATTCAATTAACTTTGAGAGGGTAAAATCGTCAAAAAGTGAAACCCTGAATAGCATGAATCGGAAGGGGATCTAGGTCTGGACGACCCAGCTGGCAGCGATGTGAGCTAGGGGAGAAAGGGAGGAACGTTTCGATGCGTGTCGCAATGCTATGCAATACAGTGTGTGTGTGTGCGTAGACGGGAATTTGCTGTCGTGTGCACAGACGGTGATCCAACGGGGCGCTTTTAAGGGTGGTGTGCCAGATCTCTGCAACCAGAGTAACCGAAGAAGCGAGCAACTGCGTATGCGAATGAACCGATTGTCAAGCATCATTTCAAAAATAAAATTGGCAAAATAATGTCAAACACCCTCGATCCACAATGCCTAGCAGTCGACCGGAACAACCAGGAAAGGAACCAACCAAAAAAGCAACCAATGAAAAACCAACAAATGGAAAGCTTTTTGAAAGGACCTCTTATGCGAGACGCTCGCGTTCAACCGGAAGCACTGCGGCATTGACAGCCCTCTTGAGTGCGGCAAGTACGCACCTAAAATACTTGGAGTTTTACATATGGTCGTAATTTAAAACAACACAACTCGTTGCGAACGGAGTGATTTGTCGAGCACCATTCTCAACTCAGACAATATTCTCATCACCCGGCTGTTTTTTTTTTGTTGTTTTTTTTTAACTCGCGTTGTTCGCGAAAAGTGTGCGCATCATTGGACCTCCACCTGTTATATTTTCGTAAGTTTAACTCCACTGTCAGTCGGAGGTATAGCTGAATCGCAAACATCCCTGAAGATTAATATTAGGTTTATGACGTTGCAGAACAGAACCAAAAATGTAATTTCCGGTCAAAACATTTTTGGGAAAGTTTCAGTGCTGACTCTCAAGAATAGCAGACTTGCCAATGTACTGGCCGGACTTGTTGGCATCGATTGCCGTGGGTTCCTGGCTCCACTGTCGCATTTCGAGACATCTGCATAATAGTAACAGACCACTCCCACAACCGATCAATGCCTCGCTCGTACCTCGCCACCAGTTTCCTGTCAATTGTCAAGCGGCGAGCTCGAAGAGGCAGGTGGGAACCAGAAACCAACATTACGAACCTGGCTGGAGCACATACACATGAAAAGCCAAGCCAAGAGGAAAAGTGTGGAGGTCACATGGTCACCATGCTGTGAGAGGGTGGGCGTGGTCCCAATAGGTCACCGTGGATCCGGCCACTGAAAGCGGATGATCAGATCATTGCCTGCCTGGATTGCGGTCGATTGGTACGTCAGGCTCGTCCTGCTGTAGCGAAAGGATGCTGCTGGTTGTACAACTGGCAGTGATCACCGCAGTGGCGGGCGAAGCGCCGAGGCGAACATAGCGTCAGGTGGCAGGAGCGGCCGCGGTGCCGCTCTCCCCGTACAGACTGCTCGTGCGCCCCGGTCCCATTGCTCTGCGTGCAAGTTTCGACTCAGGCGCACACATTGCATCGATGCAAGCTTAGGGGCGACTGTAGGCACGTTCCTTGGGGGTTCAGTGCGGCTGTCAATTAATGAAGCGGATGGCCCAGATCAGCGTGCTTCCGTACTGGGTTCCCGCCACAAGCCCCGCGTCTGAGCGCGGCAGCTAGCGACCCCTCTGCCGACAATGGACGTCATTGGCAGCTGCCTGCTGCTCTCGGTGGGCCCCGCACTGCGCCGAGCCAGACGGCCGGACGGCGTCGTCTCCGACTGGTGCCGACGGCCGCGCCAGTCCGAGCGTCGCCTGCTCGGCCCTGGCGGCGGCGGCGGGCCGGCCCGCGCTCTCCAGCGTCTCCTCATCACCGGCGTACTCTGGACGGGTGCTGACTACCCTTCTACGTCTGAGGCCGCCACACACGATCCGGCGCTGCTCCGGCCGGGCCTGACCCAGGACAGGTCAGGCTCTGACGAACCGAGCCCCGGCTGCTGAGGCTGACCGACGACGGTGTTGCAGTCGGCTGACGCGCAGACGCTATGATTCGTCATGTGCCGTGCCATTTGCCGGACCGCTTGGTCATCAAGTGTCATCATATTGGCTCGGCAATGTGGGCTTCAGGCAGAAATCGTTCCGGGGCTTTTCAAGTGTGTTGGCCACGAGAAGAATAGCCATTCGGCTCCCATTAGTGCAGGCGGCCCTGACTCCGTGTGGTAATGCTGATGAATTATTATTCATAACGTACGTGGAACATCAAAACTGTTCATATCTACATGCCCTTGTTTGACACAGCTTAACCCAACTGAGGAGGTTCAAATATGCCTTCCAGATTACCATACACACACTGACACCGGTCTCAGGTCATCGACACTGAATGCATACGACACTGCATACCACAAAACACGACCGTAAGCAAACAACGGAAAAGCTTGTCTCGCCTCGCGTCCGGATTTGTATTTCTACAATTTAAATTCCATCACCACGCGACGCGCAACGTGCAAGTGAGAATTTGGCCTTCAAAATGTAATAGTCCTGGAATGCAGAAAAGTAACGCTTAACGCTATGCTACTCAGCACCGAGATCCGTTTTGACTCCTGTCTCATGGAGTGACCCAATGAGATGGGTTTGAGATATCCTGGCGGAAACGACAGTCAGTGCCTATATTAACTTATCTCTAGTTTAGTTGTTTCAGTTCAGTTCAGTTCAGTTCAGTTCAGTTCAGCTTAGCTCCTTGCTGGCTGGAAGACAGGGGTCGAATGAAATGGATTTTTGCTGGGCTTACGTATGAGAAATGCAATTCTAATTCGTAATGCTTCTTACTTAAGGAAGGTAGGTTTATATGTTTTAACTCGTGCTAGCTAATCGTTATTGCTTTAACTGCAATCTGATGTTATATATATATATATATATATATATATATATATATATATATATATGTATATATATATATATATGCATATATATCACATCCATACATGCATACATATTAATGTAAATATACACATGTATACATATATATATATATATATATATATTATATATATATATATATATGCATGCACATCTATACATGCATACATATTAATGTAAATATACACATGCATATTATATAGATATATATAGACATGATATAGATTAGATAGATCGATAGACTAGATAGCTCGCTCGATATCGATAGATTAGATATATCTATATCTCTCTATATCCTCTCTCTCTGTATCGTATGTCATCTATCTATCTATATCTCTCTCTCTCTTCTCTATCTCTGCCATCTATATATATATCTCTTATATCTCTCTATATATATATATATACATTACGCAAGAACTGATTGGAATTTTTCATTTTGAAAACTGCGAGTCATTAATCAAATAATTCAATGTGAGCAATGAGTCTGAACTGAGCTGAATAAAAAATTTGGAACGACTATGACTGATGAACGGAATCGGACCCCATAATCTGTGAGTAGGTCCTGAGCCGGCTCAAAAAATTGGAGTGTAACACAAATCTAACTTAACGTACTCGTTTTCTCAGAAGGTTCCCACAAGTCCTCCTTAATCATGACAGGCAGGCGAGACGTAAAAGTGGTTGCGGCGGCGGCTCGAACTCAAGGCTAGCGGGCGAGGCGGTACAGCAGGGCGGTGACAACCACCTCAGCAGCGAGCACCCACAGACCGGGCCTCGGCTGCGGAGGCCCGTCGCCAGCCGACTGCGAGGGCTCGTCGCCGCCCGGCTGCGGAGGCCCGTCGCCGCCCGGCTGCGGAGGCTCGTCGCCGCCCGGCTGCGGAGGCTCGTCGCCGCCCGGCTGCGGAGGCTCGTCGCCGCCCGGCTGCGAAGACCCTCGTCGTCGCGCTTCAAACGCAGTCGAGCCGAGTCGTGCCCGACCCAGAAGATGGTACGGCTCTGTACCAGCGTGACGCGGAACACGACGTCCTCGGCCAGGTCAGCGGGCGCCACCCACTCTACTGACACCGAGTGCTTGTCGGCGCTGTCCCGGTGGCTGATGCCGTTCTGCGCACAACACACACATGTGGTCGAACATGGTCAGTCAGGTGGTAGCTGACGCAAAAAAGACAGCAGTGTGCGTGTGTGCGAGTGTATGCAAGAAATTTAACTCAGAGCGGTCAGTTTTGTCACTGTGCCTACATTTCGAGAAAAGTCTGCTAGAAGGGACCGATATCACCTGCCAGCTGGAGACGGGCGACGGTCCTGATAGCTGGATGGACACCGGTCCTCCCACAGCGGCGTGACTCTCCCTCTTGCCCTATTGCCGGGCGACACCACCCTAGATCCCGTGATCTTTATAGTACCCTGGATCCTAGGACAATCTTTGTTGGATGCATGACAAAATCCTGAATCACAGTAGACACTTAATCGGATTAAAAATGAATCCATAAACCTAAGAAGTAGATTTAGAGGGTTCAACAGACCGTTTGGCTGCCGAACAGCCTTTGCTCAACTCTACGCATTTAGGCCGCCATAACACGGCAGCAGCGTGTTCCGCGATTCAGGGCAGCTTGCAGTAGCCTGGGATTGTGAGGTTGGTCCGTGAAAAATAGGCTACTCGGACCAGGCTTGATGTTAGGGAAATGGTACGGGCCTTTGGGCTTTGGACATACTTCTCGAATTTGAAACTGACGAGATAATTAAAAAGCTCAACTAGCCTCACGTGGGGTAACAGTGAATTTCAAAAGTTGTTTACTAGAAAAGCCGTAAAAACTAATGCGACAAAGTTTAAAAATGGATCTTGAGTTCCAGAAGATCCTTCGATAAAATCAATGCATAAGTCCTACAAAATGTTTTAGAAAAATGAAATTAATCTAATGTCAAAGAAGGTTCAGTAAAAGCTGAACTAGATTTTGAATCCCGAGAGCTGAGATTTAGGACTTGTGCGACCCAGATCCCGGGATCCTTTTCTCAGATACAAACGTTTGTCTGAAGAGCAAATTTCTACGTAACATAGGATTCGTCACTAAAGCCTACATACGCACCACAATGTTAACAAACAGCGGTAGATATACCCGGATAAAAACGATGTCGTTCCAACATGTCCTGAGGATTTGCGCTGAAAAGAGCAGATGGGGAGAAAAGCGTGCTCGTGACCACGAGCCTGGCTGGCCGACACTCACGTCGCTGTACTCGCCGCAACTGGTCAGCTTGTACTCGGGGACAGCTGTGAAGCTGCCCAGCGCCGGCAGTGAGTCTGTCCCGCTTGCGCGGCGCGCCTGAACGAAGAAGCCTTTAAAGGGCATCTGGTGCTCCCGGCTGATGGTCACCGTCACCCTGTGGAGGCGGGCGGGGGGTCAGTGAGGGGCGCGTCAGCCGCCAGGTCGCACCAACTCAGCGGGCTGCGCACTACGAGAACGCGCATGAGCTGCGCTCCTCGTCGTTATTCAACGTGAGCTGATCTGCTGTTAGTCCTTGCCTATATGTCATCGATCAGCTCACATTGTCGGGGCAGGAAACTCGCTCGTTTCCGCCGGCTAGCGTTTAGGAAAGCCCGATGGGCCAGTCCAGTGATCGTCTCTTAAAACGCACGGTATACTTTTACACGGAATTCTTTGCTGAGTCGGGAATAGCTGCCGGGCTACCCTACCGCTGCCGTCCATCGGTCAGTCACCGGGTCAGGGGATCCAAACTACAAATCTCAGGGAGGACCTCACTCTCACTGTTCAGGTTGAGGTATCGCCAGCGATTACCGAAACAGATGGATTCCA